AAAAAAAAAAAAAAAAAGAGGTAGGTAGTCAGGGTCAAGAGCAGCCTTAACAAGAAGACATAGCAGAGATCTTCAAGGTCAAGGAAGTGCAAACAATTCAGAGACACTTGATGTATCAAAGTTAGGGGCTCCAGATTTTATTGAGTCAATGTCCAAGACTTTGGTGGGAGGGCAGTAGCAGGGCTCAAAGCTGTGTGGCTTCTATCACTGCTGTGGACGAGAACATAATGTGATGAAGACATTATGCAGGAGGTGTATTGAACCAACAGTGCCAGCCAGTGACTGGTGTCACTTGCATGTCATAATCAGTTCTTCATGACACTAAATTGAAATGCTCTATTTTAGGGAATCTCACCTCATCGTACTGTGAGCTCCATGAAACCGTGGCCTGAGTCTCACTCATCTTTGTCTCCCCAGTGCCTATGCTATACACAAGTGCTTGTATTGCTGAGTGGTTAAAATGGCAGGCTTGGCAGTCAGATAGATCTGTGTTGAATTAACATCATTGCTTTCCACCCGCCTGATTGACTTATTGTCTCTGGGTTTCAGTTTTCTCATCTCTAATATAACAACAACAATAATAATATTAACTTCTAGGGTTTGTCATGAGGGCAAAATGAGGTGACAGATTCAGAAATACTTAGCAGAATACCTGTGACAGAGGAAACATTCAATCGGTGGTAGCTCTCTGATGGTCGTGGCGTGATTGTAGAACGAATGGGTCAGGGACAAGTGGACGGAAGAAGTGTTGGCCTACACATATTTGATGAGGTCAGGACCCAGGACTGGGAAGAGGCTTCCTAAGAGCAACCCTGGCAGTCCTCCAAGTCTCCTCTCTGTCTCTTGGCATCTCTTGAATGACTGGGAGGCTGAGACAATGGGTATAATCTTTAAGCATCTCTCCCTTTGTGTAAAGCTAGCAATCATTTCAGCTAGGGGAACAGGGATCCAATTGAACTTGGGTAGGGGATGATGCTATTAATAAAAACATTTTTCGAATGTAACATATTGCTGTCTGTGCCCAGTGAGCTGTCGTTAGTTTGTGAACACTGTGCCTTTGGAAAGACATTGCTGGCAGCTTGAATGGAAGCTTAGGACAATTAGAGGCTTTGAACATTTTCAAACTAAGAAGTGGGATATGCATGTTCTGATTCTATGGTTTCTCCTGGGGTTTCCCTGGTGCACTTAACTAATTATTAGATGTAATTAGGAAAGCGGAGAAGTGGGGAGGCTGTGGGGGGCAGCACACTTTCCCTGAAACCTTCATTTCTTTGTGCAGAAAGGGGGCTGGGGAGACTGTCATTCTGTTGTGGAGAAGCAACGAAGCTTAGGGCACTAGATGTTGGGAAGGGTCCTGGGAGCATGGCTCTACCAGCGGACTCAAGCATATTGGGACCCATTTGTCCTGATAAAGTTTTCTTTTCTTCTTCTTCTTCTTTTTTTTTTTTTTTTAAATGAAGCAGAGTCTCACTCTGTCACCCTGGGTAGAGTACCTTGGAATCATAGCTCATAGAAAACTCAAACTCTTGGGCTCAAGCAATCCTCTTGTCTCAGCCTCTTGTGTAGCTGGGACTATAGGCACTCACCTCAACACCTGGCTAGTTTTAGAGATTGGGTCTCGCTCTTGCTCAGGTTGGTCTTGAACTCCTAAGCTCAAACTATCCACCCTCCCCAGCCTCCCAGAGGGCTAGGATTACAGGCATGAGCCACCGTGCCTGGCCCTTGATGAAGTTTTAAGTGGTTAACACAATTTTCCTTTCCTGCTTTCTCGGGGAGGAATGGTATTCTGGGTCCCTACCAGGTTCTTGGTCCATTTTTAAAAAAGAGTTCACTTTTTGTGTGCCCAAAGCAGTTAAGAAATGATGTCCTTCTTTTAGAACACATGAAGATGACGAGAGGAATTTCCACTTCTGGGTCAGCTCAGGGCCTAGCCACCACAGGCTGTACAAGATTTTTCTCATATGCCTTGGCCCAGATCCTTGGCCCCAAAGTTGGGCCAGGAACACTCTGTTTTTGAAGCTCTGAGAAAAGGAGACATTTGTAGGGCCTTCTGCTAGCTGAGTTTTCTTCAGAGGGGGACATTCCATTTGGACATAGTGTCAATTTGCTCTTGATGCAATAGAAACCACACTCTTACACATGAAACACGGAAAGACATGGCACTCAGTGTATCATCGCCCACCAGGGGTCATAGTGCAGACTTACGCAGGTGTTTTGAGAAGAAGGGAGAGCCCTGGCAGCTGGAGATGATGGCTTATATATGTTTTTTCCCCTGCCAACATGGTGTGAAGTTCATTGTCAAAAGATCATCAAATACCAATCCAGTATTTCTACTTTCTCCGTAGGTCACCTGTCTCCATGACTTTTTTGGTGATGACGATGTGTTTATCGCCTGTGGTCCTGAAAAATTTCGCTATGCTCAGGATGATTTTTCCCTGGACGAAAATGGTAAGCACCATCACTGGGTTTTATCACTCCCTTGTTCTTCCTGCCTCGATCCCTTAGGATCTCCACGGTTTCTATGGTCTGGAGAACATCTATGCATGGTCCCCTACAGGCAGATACTGTTAGTCTTTCTCTTAAATATTTGGGTATATGGGTCACTAAGTGAAAGGTTGACTGTCTCAGAGTTCCAGCCTCCAAACTCAATAAAACTGACCATCTGCCCTAGGGGTGACCATATTTCTTGAGCCATGTAGGCTGACAGTCACAATCAGACAATCAGATGGAACATTTGGAGTCAGAACTTGGATATTGTACATACGCTTTTTAAAAAGTCATCATACTCCAGCTATTTGGCTTATAATGATGGTCCTATTTTAGGAAGAGTTTTCTACTGTATTCTTAGTGTCAAACCCATTGCTGCCCCATTCCCCCGTTTTGTGATTTAGGATTCCAGAGGTTTGTTAACCTTAGAAAGAAGCTAAACATCTGCCCATCTCCCTTTGCTTGAGCCCAAGCTCCAGGTGCAAGTTAAAGGTGAATTAGCTCACACACTAACAAGGTTAGGATGGGATCCTGATGGAAAGACACAGTCAAGACATATTTCCCACCTAGGAGAAGTCAAGTATGAGAAAAACAGAGGGAGTTTTACCATTATTAGTCTTTACAAACAATTCAAATGACAAGGACCCTGTAAGAGGTGGCATTGCTGCTGTGTTCTCTTTTGGAAGCGGCAAATGATCATAGAATAACTGAGCAAACCCTAGGTTATGTCCAATTTGTTATACCTTCTACATCTCTAGCTCTGGACTGTGATCACCAAAGTTCATCAACCAAAACAAGAAGTGAAACCAAAATGGGCATTCTGCTTAACTCGGTTTCCTGAAGAACTCCATTTATCAGAATAGTTCCCCTAATCTTACTATTTATGTTTGAATACATTTTGAAGTAGGAAGCAACAAGGAGGTGTCTGTAGAGGAAAGACTACCCATTGCTCAACTGTTGGTGCCACTTTGCACACCACAGCCCAAGGCTGGAAAAACTGTATTGGGAAGAACGCTACATTGAGATGCAGGAGACTTGACTTTTAGTCCTTGTTCTGCTACTGTCTTGCTCTGTGGCTCTAAGCAAGAGGCTTTAGCTTTTGGTACTCTCATCAGCCAAGTTAACATAATAATTCTCTCCTAAAACTAGCGCTTTCAGTGCCCCAAATGGCCACAGTAGGGTATGCAGAGTAACCCTACTGCATGGAAAAGGCACTCTAGATGTGTCACACTGGGGCTAGAGCAAGTGCCGGAACATTTAGAAGACTCCTACACGCTCATGAGCTTTCTTCAATTCTGAGTGGCAGAGTCATCAATTCATTAAACCAGCATAAAGGGATTATGATAATGTACATTGAAAATCAAACAGAACTCTATGAACGCAAGACGGTGCTGGTGGTAGTCGTGCTTATTTGTATAAAATGACATGACATCCATCATGTGCCTATTGCAATGTGTGGTATGTAATAGACCATAAATGGTAGTTCCCTCCCTGTTCTTTAAATTACTTATGGGTGTTTCATTTGTGTGGCCGCAACCTCTGAGCTATCAATCTCTACTCCGAGGAAATTAATTAAACATTGTATCAATGGGTGCTATTCTGGGACATGGCTAAGTTGTACACAAATGAGTGACTTGAGTATTTAAATTACCTACTGGACCTGCTTTTGGACTTTGGTCCTTGTTTCCTTAATCCAGGGACTTAAACACCTAACTTAGATCAGGTGACTTCTGGAAGTTTCGCCCATACCTTCTTTCCCAGAGAAGTTCCTATAACTAATGAGCACCACCTGTAGTCCTGAGCCACTCAGGTCCTTTGGCCTTGATGTTTATTTCAGTTTGCAGAGGCCGATAACATGCTAAGTCTGAGGTTTACCCTGCTGTCTGTGTCCTTTTGCCCTAGAATGCCGGGTCATGAAGGGAAACCCTTCAACCTCTGGCCCAAAGGCATCCCCAACACCTCAGAAGAGTTCAGCCAAGAGCCCTGGCCCTATGCGCCGAAGCAAGTCTCCAGCTGACTCAGGTAACGACCAAGACGGTGAGTGCTCTTCTGCTAACTGTGCATGCTGACTTTATATACGCTCCATACCCTCTGCATGCAGAGGAATGAGTTCCTCATGAACACCACTGTATCTCCATGAAAACCAATTCTATCAATTCGGAGACTAGAACAGTTCAACTTGTTTGGAGTCATGGAGGCACAGCCATCACTTTTGTTCTAATCAAACGGGTGCAGATCTGGCCTGTTTTCCATGCTTGCGGTAATGCTTCTTGTCATAGTTGTCCTCATTGTCATCATCTTCAACATCATTCAGCCAAAAAATATAGTCAATGAAATAATCAAGTCAAACATAAATTTGAAACTGAAAATCTGAATCAAGAACAAGAGTGTAAGAAAATGATCCCCCCCCCAAAAAAATGATATCCCAAATTGTCAGTTCAGTTGATACACTTGAACTTCGGATTTGACCCTGAACTAATTAGACGCCAAAATGAAAGGGAGACAAGTACACGTAAATATCTACATTTTGCAAAAGGAGACAAACTAAGTTGCCTTCAGGGGGCAGGGTGGAGAAGGGAATGGGTAAAGACCTACCTAATGGTATAACGGATACTATTCGGGTGACAGGCACACTTAGAGCCCTGACTCAAGTATTACAAAAGCTATTCATGTAACTAAAACATGTGTACCCCCTTAGTATTTTGAAATAAAATGAAAAAAAAAATTTTTTTTTTTAAAGATATGTTGCCTCACTCTCACAAGGAGGAGAGAAAGCCCGGACAAGGTTCTGAAAGGAAACAAATTTATCATCTAAGATTTTACTTAGTGCGTAGTGAGTTATCTAAAAAATGAGAGATCACGGCCAACCCATGAACTGTGGTGAGATTAGGAGTTATCAGTCAGTCTGTGGTGAGATTAGGAGCTTGCGCCAAATGTAAATAAACTAAGCCACCAAGCAGACCATTTAGTTTAGCTGACCTTTTTTTTTTCAGAGCATGATTTTTTTGATGAAGGCAGCAGTATATTGATGCAACTTCTGTCTTGTCTTGGACTACCAGTTTGAGTGGCACTGATCTAAATGTTAAAATAAATGGCCACAGAAGTCCAAGTTCAGAGGCTTAGTAGACTCATGCATAGACAATTTGAGTTGTCCATACTACGGAGATTATATGGTCCAAAAGACTTACACATTTGTCTTCCCAAGGCTCAGGATTCATCATGAGAATTCTTCTAGTCTGAAAGCCTTCGGGAAAGATAAGGGCCCTTTAGTTTGGGACAGCTTGAGCAGCCTATTGGCTTTGAAGTATTTATGCCTAGTAAGACAGCCTGCCCTGCCTGTCTCACACTGCCAGGCCGGTACATATACCAGCCATCTCATTATTCTCAGGGAGAAGAAACTAAAGTGTGACAAGCCAGTCCAGGCTTTTGTTACTTCCATGTCTTTGCGTAACCTGTTCTCCTGTACCTAAAATGCCATCCCTCAAATCTATTAGCTTTCTTTGCTTGAAAACTCCTATTCATCCTTGAAGACCTCACACAATTCTCTGTAATACTATAGCATGTCATTCATATCTCTGGGGGTAATAGTCACCACACTATGTTTTAAAGTATGTGTTTACTTGTCTTCTTCCCCAACTAAATACTTAGCCCCTTGAAGGACCACGTTCATTTTTGTATCCTCAGTGCAGAGCACAGTGCCTAGCCCTTGATGCTCAAGTAATGCTTGTGAGTGGATAGATGCATAGTAGCACCTATTTTATCCAGCATGGTGCTAAAGTCTCAGTAAGCATTTAAATGTTTGTTGAAGGAATAAAAATACATGTGCTTTAGTGATATCTTGTTCAAGTTATGGAAAAGCTCATGACTATAAGCAAATTCATATTGCTGAAACTATAAAGACCTGGGTTTTAACACTGAGACTGAGAAACCAATTGTTAGGACTGTACTTAAGTAGAGAATTGTAAAGCAAACTTGGTTAAGAACCATAAAGTCAGCTTGGCGCCTGTGGCTCAAGCGGCTAAGGCGCCAGCCACATACACTCAAGGTGGCAGGTTCGAATCCCCAGCCCGGGCCTGCCAAACAACAATGATGGCTGCAACTAAAAAATGGCCGGGCATTGTGGCGGGCGCCTGTGGTCCCAGCTACTTGGGAGGCTGAGTCAGGAGACTCACTTGAGCCCAGGAGTTGGAGGTTGCTGTGAGCGTGATGCCATGGCACTCTACCCAGGGGTATAGCTTGAGGCTCCGTCTCAAAAAAAAAAAAAAAAAAAGATCCATAAAGTCTGGCAATAATTGCTTAGCTAATTGTTTTTCAGAGACAGCACTAGCTATTTCTGGAATTTCTAACCAGTATTACTTACTTCTTACTGTGAAACAATTTACTCTAAAATGTAGTACCTTAAAACAAGCATTTATTATCTCAGTTTCTGTGGGACAAGGAATTCTGTAGTGGCTTAGCTTGGTGGGTCTGGCTTAAGGTCTTTCATATAGAGAGGGTATTGGTAGGGCCTGTAGTCATCTGAAGGCTCAACTGGGGCTGTAGGATCTATCTGGAAAACAGGCCATTTCTAGGAAATGTTAACTACTCCCCTTTGAAGGTGAAAGAAAGCCCTTAATATTTCTCTTCAGCAGGGACTCAAATCAAATGAAACATTGACTCAGTTCAGATTCAGCTTAAGGAATATTTTAATGTTCTAATTCATTAGAAAATACATAGATTTGATTCTGGTTTGAACTAATTTGCTAGATTTTAAAATATATGAGGGTGATCCAGAAAGTATCCAGCCATATATGTCTCTATTTTTCATATTATATGTTTGGATACTTTCTGGATAGCCCTTGTATGTATTTGGTCCAATTCATGGTCCAGTTAATTTCTGCATTAAATTTGACTTAAAGTTTCATAAACAGATGCTATTTGGTCTATAATTTGCATCATAATTCGATTCCTTAATCCTTAGTCCTCACATTGTCTCTTTCCTGTTCTACTCCCACATCGTTCTACTTTATTCCCCTCAAGTTCAATCCCCTCTCCCTCCATTATTAGTTTATCTCAAATGGAATATTTATTGTTAAGCCCTAAACTCGAGTTAAGAAAGAACTTGATTGTCCATATAGTACTCCTGAAAGGAGGAAGTAGCTCATTCTCACTGGGCAGAGCTGATGGACTCTTAGACTCCATGTCACATTGGTCATGTCTGTCTTTAAAGTAGGCCAAACACTATAGTAAAGGGATAAAATCTGAGCCCAGGAGGCTCCTGTGAGATATTTGAAGGAAAGCTTGTGCAGCGCCACCTTTTGATTAACCCAAGACTTGCCATTTTGATGGACAAACGTAAGCTTGCCTTCAAGAACTAAAGACATTTCTAGTGTACTCTCTGTTTACATGTCAGTCGTCAATGTGTTAATTTTCCCTTAATTTGCCCCCAGTTGCATTGAATTGAATTAAAAGGGCCAAATAGCTAGTTGCTGAGAAAAAAAATCGTTTCTTTTTCTTTCTTTCCCTTATTTTTAAGGAGTCCCCAAAGAAACCAATTACCCATCCTGGTAGGCTGAGAGAACTGTAATGTGATAATTAGTTTGCTATTCTTCAACAGTAAGTGATTATTGTAGCAATCCAATGTCCTCCATCTCCCTTCCCCCAACTCAGAGGTACCTATTACTGAAAGTCCAACCTTCCCTGTTTCCAAATGCCCAAGAGAGATGGCTTCTCAGCCTTTAGAAAGACAGAAAACAGCAGATGGTTCAGGAGAGAAGTGTGTCTTGGGGTCCTCCTTTTCTAAACCTAGCAGACTGCTTTGGGTTGCTTAAGATAGAAGGACCTGGCTGTTCTTTTCTTCTTGAAGGTGACTGTCTGGCCTTGCTCTGTCCAATAGAAATATAACGTGAGCCACAAATGCAAGGCGTATTTGTAATTTTACACTTTCCACTAGTTGCATTTTAAAAAGTTAAAAGAAATGGGCAATGGGCAGCGCCTGCGGCTCAAAGGAGTAGGGCGCTGGCCCCACATGCCAGAGGTGGTGAGTTCAAACCCAGCCCCGGCCAAAAACTGCCAAAAAAAAAAAAAATGGGCAAAATTCATTTTGCTATATTTAGTAATACAATCCAAATAGTATTGGTTCATGTGTAATCAATGTAAGCAACAAAGTATTTTATATTCTTTGAAACTGCATTGTATTTTCTGCTTACAGCACATCTCAATTCTGACTAGCCACACTTCAAGTGTTCAATAGCCACATGTGACTAGTGCCTACTGTTATTAAACGACACAAAAATGCCTTTCTTCTGTAGCTGAGAGGTTTAAGATAACGATCTTTTACACTCTTAAATGCACCAGCTGAGGGAGGTGACACACAGGGCACCCATACCATCTTCCCGGAGAGCTCTGTGCCATGAGGGTACTTGCATGCCATGCTGGCTGCTCTGTTTGCCATTGTGTCATGACACTGTAGATGACACCCAGCTGGTTTGGCGGATGAAAGAAAACTCTTGCTAACCACTTCCTAATTTAAACCAGATGAAATGACATAGAAACCCCAAAGATGGCTGTCAGCTCTGGTGTCTGCTTCTACCTCCTTCCTGTCCGTTTCTCTTTCCTCTACCACAACTTTCCCCCCTCTTCCCTAGCCCCCATCTGAAAAATCATAGGAAGGAATTGCCTAAGGAATGACTTGTAAAGGAAGAGCCTATGCAGCAAGAACTCAAAACAAAACCACATGAGCTTTGAAATCCAAGAGACCTGTGTTCAAATCCTGACTTTGCTTCCCCTAACTTGAATGTGCATATGAGTGCGAGTATGTGTGTGTGTGTGTGAGAGAGAGAGAGAGAGAGCCTGGCCCACCATAGACACTCAATAAACAGCAATTATTATCCTATTTTTGTTGATAGGATCGATAAGGTGGCTTTAGGGGATGGAAAAGTTTTTGATACGCCTTGTCTCAAAGGGGAAAATGGACTGGACCAAGAAAGGGAGGAGAGAAATGAGAGAATTTGGAGGTGTATAAATTAAAGGTGGGAACAGTGAGGCAAGGCTATGGTTCTGAGGAGGGAAATGAGAGTGGGAGATCAGTCCCAGAGGGAGAGGACCCTCCCCCAAAGCATTCCTAGACTGCCTCTGAGAAACGGAAGCTCAGAGACAACAGCTAAGGATGTTTAGTCAAGAAGAATAGAGGAAAAGGAGGGATATCAAACAGCGGTGCCATTTCCGGCCACTCTCCAAATGAGATGTGACAGCCTCTCCACGTGGGTTTACCAATCTGAACACACGCAGTTCATCAGGCCCTATTTGCATTATTTCCTGCTGTTTCTCTTACTTGACATTTATGTGAATTGGCTCCAGAATCTATATCAAATGGCACCTTCCCAGATTTTTTTTTTTCCCAAAGAATCCACAGTAGAAATGTCGGTACGAATCCATTTTTTATCTAGTCTGTACATGCAGGGGCTCCTTCAGCTTGTAATGAATCTCCATTGGCCCGCGCATGCCTACATTTTCTCATTTCTCTGCGTCCATCTTTGCATTTCCTTCCAGGAGGGAACTCTGGAAAAGTCTGGGAAAGAATCTGCATTTTTTCCCCCCAACAATGCAGTGAATGGCGGTTAAATCATTAACAACTGATTTCCCAGATGCTTATTGAATATTGGTGACAACAGATAGCTGGAGATGGATTCTCTGGAGGAGGGAAGTGGGGAACAGATATAAATGTACAATAAGCATAGAGAGAGGCGTACATGAAAGCTGTATTGATATACACCCCTAAATGTATTAGGTGAAAAACTTTCCGAGGATATTGAGAAAAGAACTGGAAGTTGAGGGAGAGCTTATATATTTAGATCTGTAGTCAGTAGGTGGAAACGGAATCACATGCAGAGATGCTTGTGGCTAATAATTTCCCACATTTTGGCAAGGCCAGTGGGCTCCTTCTTAGCTAGATGAGTGTGGAGGTAAAAAAAGGTAGTTTTAATATTGGGAGTATCACAGCCACTCCTTGACAGCCTGACTAATAAATACTGGGAAACTGGAATCTGTAAAGTATACGCCAATCACGTAAAATAAAATGATAGACTTACCTGGGGATGCCCACACCTGTTGGACCTCGTGGCTGAGGTAGAGATCTTTTGGAAGATTTCCATTGTGTCAGTTCACACAAGTCACCACAATTGCTTCTTGTCTGGCTGGCTAGGGTACACGTCTCCCTGGGAAAACCCTCGGGCAGTGTAGGTGGCCCATTAACTCTTTCAACTATTAACTCCTTCATTTCCTACAAAGAGTAATGGACTGCTTTGTCCCACTGTGGGCCCACAGACTGGCCTTTCCTAAAGTGCATTCTTTAGTCACCAGTCAGCCTAGTTCCTTGACAAAGTCTAGCTCTCACGTTCTCAATGCTGTTTGACACAGGTCATGTTATTCTTTGGGTGGCTTCCATGGAATGTAAACACAACACTCTAAGCTTACCTGGCCCTGCTGTGTCTGTTCTCTGCCTCCTCTGTGGTCTCGGTTCAAGCCATTAACACCTCCCTCCCCCAACTCAGACTAACGTAATATCTTCTTACCAACCTCTCTGCTTTTATCCATTCCCCACTCCGCTCTGGTCTTACCTCAGCTGATGGAGTCATAGGTCTAAAATGCAAACTTGATCATATCCCTTCCTGCTCAAAATCTTTCGGTGACAGTTCCTTCTGAAACCAAACCCAAACTTCTTAATAGGTCACACAACAGGCCCCGAAGTTCTGACCGCTGGGACTCCAGCCTCATCTGGAACTCCCGGCTGGCTGGCACCCTGAGCTCGAGCCATTACTTGTTACTTAGACTTCTGTAAACATGCTGTGCTCCTTTACACCTTTTCTCAGCCCTAGTAACGCTGATTCTTCTTTTTCTTCCATGGATGTATCGAGATTCGATTCACATACCATATAATTCATTAATCTAGAACGTGCAGTTCTGTGAGTTTTGGTTTAGCCACAGATTTGGGCAACAATCACCACTATTAAAATGACAGAAGGTCTTTGTCTTTCCACTCCCCCCAAAAGATCCCTGGACCCATTAGGAGGCACTTGCCATTTCTCCCCAACTTCTCCCCCACCTTCAGCCCCCTGGCAACCATGAATCTGCTTTCTGTTTCTATAGATTTTCCGATTCCAGACTGGTCTTTCAGGATTTCTCAGATGTGGCCTCTTCTAGTTTGCCTCCCAGTCCCTCGATTTCAAAGACTGTGCTCTGGGCTCCTGTAGTGCCCTCTGCAGGGCTCCGCCTTAGCACTTATTCCACTGGATACTTGCCTGCCTCAAACCCCCATGTCTAATACCTCGCCAGGCTCACAGGTAGCTCCATAGCCAGTGCTAAAGCAATGAATGACAGGGAGGATGACCTCTCAGCGAGTGGATGAGTGGTGACAGTGCTGAACTATCCATTTTTCAGCTCACTTGCCCTTGGGTAAACTCAGCAACCACCCCACTGATATCTCTTTCATCTCCACAGTATCAACTGTGCAGCGTCCAGAACCCAGGGAAGCATTGCCATAAGTGGTGCAGAAGGAATAGACCCTCAGGAAATAGTCATGATAACAGCAGTATGAGCTTTACCCGTGAGACTAACAACAACACTCTCAGGCCATCTTTCTGCTTAACTTTTTCAATTTTCTATTTATTCCTTCCCTCTCTCCCCTCCCCACTCTCCTCCCTAACTCTCCAAACACCCTTAGGCTCTTCACCTTTGTTTTTAAAGCACATTTTGGAATTTCTCTGTTTACCAATGTGGGGCTTGAGATTTAAAAAAAAATACTGTAGCACGAGGTGTCTGAACGTGAATCCACTTTGAAAGCTGTTTAATTGTTCTATTTTAATGCACCGCGTTTTCCCCCCTCCCCCGTTGGATATTAAAAAGCTCATTAGCAAGGGAATGTAAAGCAATTAGCAAACACGACGCAGTATAAAAGCAGAGCTATTTCATTTTCAGCGTTTTCTTGGTTGAAGCCGGATGGGGGTGCACCCTGAGTCTGGCTGCCTTTCTATATCTCTGGTTTTTTCCCCTTTCATTTTCCTCACATCTTCTCTTCTAATCTCGTACCCTATCTTTTTTGTCTCCCCTCCCCTCCATTCCCCATTTCTTTCCCTTTTATTTTGATTCTCTCCTCGGCCCATTCTGCTGTTGGAGACTTTCTTTACACCTCAGTGTCTCTTTCTCTGTGCTTTCTCTCTCTTTTCCCCCCTTCTTTCTTTCGCACTAGCCTATTTTCTCTTTCCTATCCCCCAGGATGAGGTAGAGAAGTGGGGGAGATGAGCCCGAAACGAGACGGGAGAGGTTGACATTGGGGCCGTAGTGCACTTACCCCATAATCTGCCACCAAAGGGGATGTGCCCTGGCCAGAGAATCACTCATATTTCTTCCCCTTTAAGGTGCCTCACTTTTCTCCTCTATGAAATGAAAGCAAAATAATACCTTCCCAGACTACCTCCCAGAGATGTTAGGGTCAAACCTTGGAATGAATATGAAAAAGGTTTGAAAAGAAACAGACCCCTGTGATTGGCAAGCACTGGAGGGAAAGGGTGGGAGGATGACCGCCTTGCACTGCGCAGACACCTAATTAGCTGAGGATTGTGGTTCTTGCCCTTTGGAGGAATGTGGCTCTTTTTCCCTTTGTCCTACTCACCATATCACTTGGTTGTCTGTGTACCTTGTTGGAATGTTCTTAGCGTCTTTGGAGGGGAAGGATCACGTGCTCCTTTTATGCTGTTGATTTTTATCCCTTCCTTTTCTCTTGCCTTGGCCTAGCTAATGGAACCTCCAGCAGCCAGCTGTCTACCCCGAAGTCTAAGCAGTCTCCCATCTCTACACCTACCAGTCCTGGCAGCCTCCGGAAGCACAAGGTATTAAGTCTCTTATACCTTACTAAAAGTCCTTTGCACTCGGGGTTTCCTGAACGGCTGGGTGAAGGTTGTCTCTTCCATTCTATTTCCACAGCACGTTAAGACCAGAATTCCTATTCATTGGATTCCATTAACTTGAGGTTTTGGGAATCCCAGCAGGGACCAAGCTTCTGGTCACTTCTATTCATTCCTTTGATCCCTGGTTTATTTCCAGTTACATTCTGGTACTTCTTACAAAGGTCTCAAGTACCTATCCTGATCTCATGAGGTAACCAAACCAGGTCCTGGGGGTCAATGAAGCACTTGTCTCTCCAATTCAGAGACAAAGCAAAGGCAGCATGGAGAGTAACTTATGTCACCTGGCACTAGTCGACATAAACGACAAAGATAGCTGTCAAAAAAAGTGGCACTGACTTCCTCCCTTTAGTTTTGCTGGATATCCGCAAATGAATGTACCCTGGTTTTGCTATGTACTTGCTCTTCACTACCAGGCCTTGAGCACCATTTACACACCTGAAGCTATCCCAAATAAATATGCCATTAAGATACTACTGGATACATTGTCTGGCTTCACTATCTAAACAGATTTCCGCCCAGAAAGCTCTCCTGTATAGAAAATCTGGAGTGGTCACTGCCTTAAACCCCTTATCCCCGAGGCAGTGTTGATGCTGATGTGGTTTCTTCTCTGAGGACCACACTGTGGAGCAGCTTCCTTCAGGATTCTTTGTCTCTCTCCCTGCTCCTGACACTTGATGTGGGATGGAAAAAGACAAGAAGCCAACAGTACGGCTCACACCAGCCCAGAATCACAGCTGATCAGAGCTGGAAGACAGCTTCGATAGAGAGAAATTTGTTTCAGTTGATTCTCTCAACAATTTTCTAAGGCTGACATCTTACAGATGAGGAATTTGGGACTCAGAAAGGTTAAGTTACTTACTCCAGTAAAACCAACCGTAGGGCTGGTCCGCAAACACCTCCCCTGCTACACAACAGCCACTTCACGCTAGTTTGTGAGAGCTGATTGTGTACGTTGCTGTCCATCTCTGTTTTCAGTGGTATCTTGTTGGCAACTTGAACTTTGCCCTGATGGGAATATTTACACCCTGAAAATTGGCAAATATTATAAGTCAAGGTGGTTGTGTTGTTTTTTTTTGTTTGTTTGTTTGTTTTCTCACAGAAAGTCAGAGTATTAAACATTTAACAGCACAGCACTGCCTGACAGCCATTCTCATGTCCTTTTCCCTACATCAGGTGTTTAATTTCCTGGATCATTTGGCCATTGCCCACCCCATCATTTCTAGTTCCTGTTGTATTCCTTTATTGACCCTTTTCACTTTGGACCAGAACCTTCTGACTGTCTTGCTAAGCTGTTTGGTTTCCCCAAAGGTGGATTTGCAGAGCTGTTTGTGTGGCCAGTCTTACCCAGAGATTGTGAGATGAAAAAGCTTTAGTTATTCTTTGCTGAGCAGCAAAGATCGTTAATATAGACATTCTAGGCTCAGCGCCCATAGCACAGTGGTTACGATGCCGGCCACATGCACCAAGGCTGGCAGGTTCAAACCCAGCCCGGGCCAGCTAAACAATGACAACTGCAACAAAAAAAAAATAGCCAGGCACCTGGGCACCTGTTGTCCCAGCTACTTGAGAGGCTGAGGCAAGAGGATCACTTGAGCCTGGGAGTTTGAGTTTACTATGAGCTGTGATGCCACAGCACTCTACCAAGGGCAACATAATGACACTCTGTCTCAAATAAATAAATAAATAAATGGATGTTCCAAGGTAAGAAGAGCTTGCCTCTATTTTCCACTACACTCCCAGTGCCACCTATAGATGACACTACTTCTTACTATACCTTTGTCATATGCCTTTCTGCTCCTACCTTCCTTCTGGTTAAGTGCAAGCTATTCTAGCACCTTCCATCTTCACAAAGTGCTGAAGGCAGGTGGGCACTTGGTTGCACACTTAGAGACATGCAGCTTTTCAACTGACATGTCCGATTGATTTAGGCTGAGGACCCGGCGTCCATAAAACCATTGAGGTGAGTGTTCCCACGGTTAAACTGTTTCTCCTGGTTGGGCTTGCAGGCACTTGTGGCTTGTTTGTTTTTTTGACTCAGTTCTAAAAACTGTTTTAACCATTGAAGGGCTAGGACAAGCTCACGGGTGGTAGCCTTGCCAGAGCTTCACTGTTTTCTTAACTGTGGAATTGTCAGTGTATCATTCTATTTTTTTTTTAAATAACTCCTTTTTAAGACAGTTAAGCAAACAAGCACTACGTAATAAGTGATATCAGTTTCTAGAGCAAACTTTGAAATAAACATCTAGATTTTGCTATAATTCTCACTATGTTTAAAACTTGTTATTTTTATGTCATTTCAAACTTACAGAAGAATGGCGAGAGAAAAAAGAATGCCTTTATCTCTTTTCACAGATTTACCAGTTGTTTCTATTTTGCCCTATTTATTTTTTGATGTTCTTTCTCTCTCTCTCTCTCTACACACACACACACACACACACACACTCACACACACACACACACAGAGTGCATTTCATTATTTTTTACCAAACCATTTGAGATGAAGAGCAAAGATTATTTCCCTTTTGCCCCTAAATACTTCAGTGTATATTTCCTAAAAGAAAGGATATTTTTGGCTCGGCGCCTATAGCTCAACCGGCTAAGGCGCCAGCCACGTACACCTAAGGTGGCGGGTTCGAATCCCCAGCCTGGACCCGCCAAACAACAATGACGGCTGCAACCAAAAAATAGCCGGGTGTTGTGGCGGGCACCTGTGGTCCCAGCTACTTGGGAGGCGGAGGCAGGAGACTTGCTTGAGCCCAGGAGCTGGAGGTTGCTGTGAGCTGTAATGCCACGGCACTCTGCCCAGGGGGACAGCTTGAGGCTCTGTCTCAAAAAAAAAAAAAAAAAAAGAAAGGATATTTTCTATCAGAAGCATAGTACAAGTATCAAAATCAGGAAATTTAACACTGGTACACTTATTTATTTATTTATTTTGCCATTTTTAGCCAGGGCCAGGTTTGAACCCACCACCTCTGGTAGTACACTGTTTGGTCCATATTCAAATTTTATCAGTTTGCTTCAATATTATTCTTTTCCTGGTCTGAGTCCAATCTAGGATCACACACTGCCTTGTTATCATGTCCCTTTAGACGTCTTTAATCTGGAAAAGTTCCTGAGACTTTATCTTTTGGTACAGTATATTGTAGAAATAAAGAGTACAAGCCAGTATTTGATAGAATGCCCTTCAATCTGAGCTTACGATTAGACGGAGATTATGCATTTGCAACAGGATATCATAGGAGTGACGTTGCATCCCTCTCAGGGCATCCTATCAGAAGCCAATAGCCTCATGCATCACTGGTCAAAGAGATTGAACTTGTTTGTTTGAATAAGCTAAAAAGTGTCTTGTGGCCTTGGCTTAGTCCCCCTGGGTCTCAGGTCTTAGTTTCATGCTCCTCCTTTCACACGGCTACCTGAGCCTTAACACCATGGAGTCCCTGGGCAGTGGGCCTAAACAGATCTCATCTAACGTTCCATCCAAGTGGACCTGAAAGGTGTGAGTCATAGGGGAGACAGGAAGCAGGTGGCTGAGGCCATGACTTTCCTCCTGCGCAATTGGAAACAAACTTGAAGTCCCAGTATCCCTTTGGTAACTTTTGATGGCTGTGGCGGGGCTCTAAGCTGTAATCAGCCTCTTGGCTTCCCCTCTTAAGCAGCTCATGGAGAATCCTCTTTAATGCAGCTGCAATGAGGTTAGCCAAAGTCCGCATACTCAAGTGCTACAATATGGACACAAAGTAAATCCTTGGATAGTTAATGAGAACATTTTGCATTTCCATACCGCCTTACCCTATTGCGCAGCCATTTTCCCACTTACTCATGTGCTATCCCTGTGAATGAGATAGGGCAGATAGCATTTCCATTTTACAGATGAGAGAAAAGAAGTGTAGAGTTTAAAGACAGCCCCAGTGTGATTCAACAAATATGTATTGAGGATCTTCTTTGGAGAAAGTATCGTATCAAAGATGTTCAAAGAATCTAGCCACATAGGGAAGCATTTTGATTTACTTAATTTTTTTTTTTTTTGGCCGGGGCTGGGTTTGAACCCACCACCTCTGGTATCTGGGGCTGGTGCCCTACTCCGTTGAGCCACAGGCACTGCCCTACTTAGCATTTTTTTTTTTTTTGGCCGGGGCTGGGTTTGAACCCGCCGCCTCTGGCATATGGGGCCGGCGCCCTACCCTTTTGAGCCACAGGTGCCGCCCTCTACTTAACATTTTTTTTACAGATTGGTGACCCATGGCTGGAAATTTGGAGGCATTTCACATGCAGGGTTGTATGGAGACAGAAGGATAATATATTTGACATATTATTTGAAATTGTAACTCATACTACTTAAATATACATTTTCCTTTATGTTTTTAGACCTCTCTTCTCCTGTAAGTGCTTGGAAAGAGAGTTTGATGAATAAAACAGGGTCTGGACCCTTAAATCACAGACACAACTAACTCCAATATAAGTAGACTTGGGTAGTGTAATAAAGAGCTAAAAAAAAAAAAAAAAGGACTACTGAGCTCAAAGGAGGGTGGGAAAGACATCTGACTGAGGAGGGTAGTGGCACTTGAGGCAAGTTTTTCGCCAAGGTGACATTTAAGTTGGGCCTTGAAGGCTGAGTTGGTTTTACAGGGCTGGTGAAGAGAACAGGCATTACAGCTTTAAAAAATCAGGAAAAACGAAGCCAGGCCATTATAAAAGTACAGGGCCCATTAAGGAAAGAACAAACCCAAGCTAGAAGCCAGGTTTCTCAAAGCCCCTCCCTGACTTCCTTTGGACTATAAACTCCTTGGACCAGAGATCGACTTTTTGTTTTCTCTAACACAACAATATCGCCAGCACAGCTGTATTTATTACAAACATTGTGTTCTGTAGGGCTCCAAGGGACCAAGCAAATGAATTTCAGGTGCAAATTATTTGTCCTGTTA